AGCAAGAAACTATAATATTCACCTTGTGTTTGGTTCCTGCACTGCCAACTACATAGCAACCGAATAACTTGGCATTCAACTGATCCACAAGCAGCAGATACAAATACTTTGGCAACTTTCTTGGGCTCGCACACTTTATAAAACCCTCCATATGCTGTTATACCGCTGTTTCCTATATAGTAGAAAACTTGTGAAATATTAAGTAGAAACTAGAATAACAAGACATGATGATTGGTACGAGTTGTGTATATTTTGAATTTTTTCCTCAACTTTTGGGGAACTTGCTATAAAATGCTTTTTTATGGGATTTACTTTTATGTTTGAGCTGTCACCTATGAAGCACTGATATGGATTGGTATAGGATACGAGTATGATATACAAAGTTTATGATATATTTAAAATTTTTAAATAACAATGATACAACAATATATTTACTTTATATATAAAAGTATATACGTTTTCTTATAAATAAAGACAATATTTTAAAGGGTATTTTGGAAAATGCTTCCAACTTTACATTCCAAAAACAATTATTGTAGTTTCTTAAATTCTGTATATAAATGAAACATCCTTATTTTGTGATATTCAAATTTAAAGAATTTATGAAATGTTATTATAATTCGTTGTGTGAAGTTCACACACAAATAATTATTTCTCTCCGGTTTGAAAGTACTTTTGAGAAATATGAACACCTTATTTATTTTGGAAAAAAAAAAATTTATCATCCGAACTATAACGATTTTTGCGCATCATTATATAATTTTTTTTCTTTTACAAACCATCACCTGAACTATACGGATTTAACAAATTGCTCCCTGAATCGGATATAAAAGTGGTTTTGACTAAAAGAAGCTGATTTTTAGGGAATTTCAGTAATTTTATATATTTTTTTTAAAAAAAAGAAAAAAAAAATGAAGAAGCTAGTTTAAAAAAAAATAAAATAAAATGAAGTAGATTGTCGCTCTCTTGGTGCAGCCGCCGCTCGCCCCGCGCAGTAGACCGCCGGCAGAGAGCGTCGCCGTAGTAATGCGGCCGTCAACACGTACATGTTCCGATAATATGTATTCATCCACCTTCATCTATCCTCAATAGAGCATTTGTCTACGCACGTGAGCGGATCCTTCGCCTTCTTCATGGTCGTCAGAGACGTGCTTGACTACGCCACCTGAGTCGCAGCGGCATCCACCGCCGCCTCCCGCTGGCAGCGGAAACCATGTGCGACGAGAGCTGCGGGCACATGAAATCATGCTTTATTCTGGCTCGTCGTGGACTCCGTGGCGAGCCTCGTTGGGGAGAGACGCTCGACCCGTTTCACCTCTATTGTGTCCGTGAAAGTTCCAATCACCCTGCGAGTGTGCATAGAAAAAGTTCACCCCATGCGACACTTCTAATCCCACGTTCCTCAGCCTCTCGAGCTCAGTTAGGATCACCGAGTCGAGATCGGGCGTGTCAAACTGACGCCAATCATCATTAGTCTTCTTCGACCACGGAGACAGGCGGTCCCTCCTCAGTTCACAACACTTTAAAGCCAGCTTGGGCTCGGCCAATAATGAGAGGGCCTCCTCGACTGGCTAGTCCCCAATCGTGAAGTCGAGCACATTTGTAAATTGGCCAGACTCGATCGCGGTCTCAACATGGTGCGAGAGGCACATGGCAGGCCGGGCCGTGAGGATTTGCAGCAGCATGACCCCGAATGATTTGACGTCGGATTTGGTCCCAAGCATGCCCGAATTAGGTAGGCGGAGGTTGCGGATAGCCAGGCTACTGACCGGACGATGGACTGGTTGACGTAAGGGTGGGCAAAAAACCCGAATTTTTTCGTACCGAACTAGACTGAAATGGTCCCGTTCCGAAAAATAAGGTTCCAAAAGGTTTTCTTTATTTTTGTCCCGTTCTTGGTACCGAACCGTTTTAAACAATGTCGGTATCGGTTTTGAATATTTTTGTCCCGAACCGTCACGTTTGTCCCGTTTTATTATTATCGTACAAAATATTATATATATATATATATATGTATTATACATTATTATTGTATTTTATATTAGTATTGTAGTACCATTTACATAATTAACTATAGGTCATTTTTGCATTCATGGTTCCATAATATTCTAGCTATGTAATATATATATAAACAATGAATATGTAAATATTAAAAGAAAAAGCCCTATTCTCCAAGCCAAAACTAAATAAATAAATAAATAAACAATGCGTTTGGTAATTTGGTTGTAAAGATAATATTTTTGTTAGATCTTAGATATTGGTAAGTGGTGACTTTAACTTTATGGATCAATATGTTTTTCAATGAAATCAATACTCCTTTTGGGACAGTGTCTCGTCTCGGACCGTTCCCAGACCGGTTCATAAAAGTGGGATAAGTACCGGATAAGTGAAATTGGATATGTCTGCATGACTACCACATTAATTGGGACAGCCTGACTAAATTTTATACTTATCACATATATATGCAGAAAAACAAAAAACATGTACCTAATACTCCTCCCGCGTAATAGGAAAGAGGAAATCCCATAGTATTATCCAATTTGAGGAGGTTGCGGCCATCTTCTTCAACCAATGTATACTCTCCCCAACTCAGCAGCCCCACCACCAAATCTCCTCGCCCAAAATCAGCCTTCCCCACCCCACTTCCTCTTATCTCCTGCACACTATGCATGCCAACATTAATTAATACTCGTTTTTCCAAGTAAATAAATTAATACATATGCATATTTTTTATTTTTTAAAAAGAAGTTAATATTAAAATGTGGAACTGATGAAGTAACGACCTGAACGGGCAGAATGCAATCGGCTCCTCGGATAGTGAGATTTTGCGCGTCGCTCTGTGTTTTCATGCAGATTATTTGGTATGGATCTATGGACACATACAGGTTCTTCACGACAACCTAGTTTTTGGCAGAGTTTAAGGAGATGAGTTGTTCGGAGATGGCAAAGTCGGATTCCCGTGGTGCTTCGTCTATGTGATACCTTATCACCACATACTTGTTTCTTATTATCATATCAGCCAATTTTTATTTTTAGAATGTGTGTGTGTGTGTGTGATTCTATTGTGGTAGATGATAAGACGAAATAGGAAAGGGGTACGCCATTTGGGTGATCGAAATTGTTCCAAGGACCATAGTATAGTACGTACTTGGAAAATGACATCAAATGTACATTTATGAATGAATAGTGACTTGTCTTTATACACTCACTTGTAGGGCAATGGTATTATTATCACTTTCAAAATTATATGTTGGTATCCGAAAGCATTTAGAAAATTGTAGGATCCAACATGTATTTTGAGCTCACTTCAGAGTTCATATATATAAGCTCTCACCAGCAAATGGGGTTAACTTATAATTTAGGCTCGTGTACATGTTTACTACATTTTTATAATTTTTTTTTTTTTTTNGCCATAAACAAAATAAGAATAATAATAATGCAATTTAGAAACAAATAGCAAAAATAAACCACAAATCAGCTATTAATAAACTATTAAGCTGGTATGTTTGTAATTAAAAAAAAAACTTACAAAATGTGCAAATATTTTTCAATAACATAATTAGATACAACTGACCAAGTATTAGTTCATTTACAGAAACTAGAAAGCTAGCTAATATAAGTAACCTGTCTTGCTATAGAGCCTCCTATAAATCACTATTAGAATTTAGTGCATTATTAGTACCAAAATTTTACAATGGATTAGTATTTGTGTCATAATTACGTTATCAGTAACATAATTTTGTAAAAGATTTATAAAGGTGGCATAGTTATGAGTTTCAGCAATGGAACTTAGTTTAGTTTTATTATGAAATTGATGTAGGGAAGCGTGCGAGTGGAAAAGGATAAACAAGATACTCTCTCGTAAAACACACAAAACTCACAATATCTGATTCAATCTCAAAATTCACCAAGTAACAATAAAGCAGGAGAATCCTTTATATAAGACTCTCAAAACTAATAACTTGTTCTCTAAGCTAACTACTAATTACTAAATAACAATAATAATAATAATAATAATAATAATAATAATAATAATAATAATAATAATAATAATAATAATTATTATTATTCTACACCATTCTCCCTTGGTTCGGAAGGCTTCGCCCTCGAAGTCGACGCGCTCCCGTGGCTGGTGTGGAGGCGAACTCATGGTAATAATCCCCGTCGTTTTCCCCTGTCGAACATGAAGGTTGAATGTCACACCTCCATGGTATCACCCCCTTGAAATTCATAGAAAGGCATATATGTAACAGCCACACACAGAATTTTGAAGTCACCGTGGTGACCAAAAAACAACATCTGTTTGCAAGGCCGCAACAAATTCCCGTGAGAGAAAAGCTCGAGTCTGTGCAACAGAATAACTACCAATTCTTCCAACAGCTGAATTTTGATACTCGGAACATGATGAAATTCCTCCTGTCCTGGAGGCTCCTCATTGAAAATCGGCGGACCATCGTAGAGACCGTCCTCTTCGCCGGTAAGATGCTCCTCCATCTCCTCGAGTCCGTCATCAAGCACCGGCGAACCATCGTACAATGGCCCGTCAAATTGCTCTCCTTCGAATTTTGGGATGTCAATGCAAAACGGGCCCTCCCATCGACCATATTCGCGATCAAATTCTCAATCGTTTCAGGCATGATATCCGCTGGTGAAGGCAGCCTCCTCGCGCCTGCCTCTGTCATTGCGTTGATCGTCGCCGTCCACGAAAAATCGGGCCCCGTCGCCGCATGTCACGGCTGCCGTATACAGCGAAGGGGTCAGCCTCGACATGCAGAGGTGGATAATCGCCAAAGGGATTCACCTCCGAGATTGCCTCCCTCTCCGTCTTCGTCGCCGGACGGTGGTTGTGGAGATCTCCAGCGGGGGACCCCGCCTGGACCACGGCCTCCACGTCCTCCGCAAACTCCCCCGCGCACGCCCCGGTTGCCGGCGTCACGGTTCGTCTGCAAATTCTCAACCAGGTTGTTGATCGTAAGACGCACTTCTTTGATCCCCGTCGAAATATTATCAACTCGACGTTTTAATTGATTGATCTGGCGGTCGAAGCCCGTGGCTCGTCGACCCAGATACTCAATGATGGCGTCACGCCCGTTGATGTCGTCCTTCCGCGGCGGCATCTTGAATCGTGCTGACTTCTGATACAAACTGATGTAGGGAATCGTGCGAGTGGTAAAGGATAAACGAGCTACTCTCTCGTAAAACACACAAAACTCACAATATATGATTCAATCTCAAAATTCACCAAGTAACAATAAAGCAGGAGAGTCCTTTATATAAGACTCTCAAAACTAATAACCCTAACTTGTTCTCTAAGCTAACTACTACTACTATTAATAATAATAATAATAATAATAATAATAATAATAATAATAATAATTCTACACCAAAAATCACGTTTTATTTTTTTTTTATGACTAGATTTAATTCGAATAAAAAATAATAACTAATTTTTGAAATTCAATGTACATAATAAGATTTTACTTAAATTAGAATTTTAGTTAAAGATTCATTTTGATGATTAATGTCGGAAATGCTTGTCTTATATACTAGCAAGGGATAAATAAGACATTGCTTGTAAATTTCAGTTAAAAATTTATTTAAAGATACAAGGGATAAATAAGACATTGCAAAAAAAAAAATTCAATTAAAAATTTCAGTGAATATCGGAAATGCTTTCCTTAATTTCAGTTAAAAATTTTATTAAAGATACAAGAAACAAATAAGACATTGCAATAAAAAAAATTTAGTAAGAGAAAAGGAGAAAAAAAAACTACTTAATAAAAAATTTTATTTATAAATTATTTTTATAAAATTATTTAATCTATACTTATTTTCTTAAAAATATAGATTATAAAGAATATAAAATTTCAGGTGGGGCATAGGCACGCCTAGAAAGACTTTAGATCCGCCCCTGAGAGTCTAGTATATTTATCATATTCTTACATATTATTTTAGAGTAATGCTATAGAGTTTACTTGGATGACAATTTGGATTACAACTCAAATGTAAATGCATTATTTATTTTTTTGATAATGCATTACACTTTGGTTGTAACTTGTAACCCAAGTTATCAACCAAATGAACTAAATAACATTACTCATTATTTTACTATGCTTAGCCTGACTAGCTTGTAAATTCTACCTCGCCAGACCTGCTTCACAAAGGACGTCACGGTTTAAATGACTTTCTTTATTGATAAACTTGTTGTGACACCCCATTTTTCTTAAATTTCGATTTTCTGACCTCACTTTATCACTTTTAACCCCTTTAACTTATATATTTTTTTTTTCTAAAAAAAAAAAATTAAAGTAACTTCTTCTTCATGAAGTAAAGTACCTATTCCAATCCCATATCAAGTCAACCCTCTCGCCTCAACTCTAATTCATTTTATTGATTTTTTTATTTTCTGAAAAGGATGAAGCTTTGTTTTTCCCCTTCTTATTGCTTTGAACAGCTATTTTCTTTTTAAATATGGACCAACAAAAGAAGATATCAAAGTGGGAACTTTATTTGAGTATTAGTTGGAATTCGCTAATTACTATTAATCAAGAATTCGAACAAAAGTATCCTAAATAAAAGTAATGACTTTTCNCTTTATAGGCCAATATATATGTATATTATTTTTTTCTAAATATATGAAATAGGGGTATGTATCTAACATATAATATACAGACCTATATTAATTCGACTAAATTATGAAAACTGTCACTACAAGAAAAAGATGAAATTCCAACGGAAATATATCCTAATAGAATTATTCCAACGGCAATTCTAATGGATATTTCAATGTTATTATTTCCATTAGAAATTTCAATTGATTCCAACCGAAATTCCAATAAAAATATTCCGTTGGAATGTGTTTTCCATTGGAATTTCCGTTGAATTTTGACGATTCCAACGGTATTTTTCAACGGGGGTAGAAATAAAAATTCCAACGAAAATTCCTATAGTAAAATGCCGTTGGAAATATAACCATTGGAATCATCAAATTCCATCTAAAATTCCAATGAAAACTGTTAGATATGTAAATATTGAGATTGTACTATAGGCTAGGTTTAGGCCCAATTTAAGCTAAGGCCCATCTATGTATCTATATATATGTGTACTTCTCTTTGTGAATAATATAGATCATATATTTTTCCCACTTTCTTACATGGTATTAGAGCAGGTTCTGTTGGTGACCGTGTGATGACGTACCCGTTACTCAGCCAGTTGGGCTTGGGCTTTCGAAGGACTCACAAGTGAGGGAGCGTGTTAGAATATCACTTGTGAGTTGTCCTACATCATTCATACATAAAAAATGGGCCCACCTTATAAGTCTAATGGACTACTCCTCCTTCCACCAATTGGTTTTGTGATAGAACCTCATTTGGGCTTCATATGGGCTTTTCCCCGTTCATGGTGCGCTTCATGATAGTGAGCCCGCACCCGTTTTCCCACAGTTTCTGTCATGGTATCAGAGCACATTGAGATTGATTGTTACTTCATTCGACAACATGTTGTACATGAGACTGTGAAGCTTGTTCCCGTCTCCTCTACAGATCAACCAACTGATGTCTTCACGAAGTCTCTCCTTCTCGGTCGCTTTTGTTTACTTCTTAGCAAACTCAAGTTGATTTCCACGATACCACCTTGAGTTTTAGGGGGGGTGTTAGATATGTAAATATTGAGATTGTACTATAGGCTAGATTTAGGCCTAACTTGTGCTAAGGCCCATCTATGTATCTATATATATGTGTACTCTTCTTTGTGAATAATACATCATATATTTTTTCCATTTTCTTATAAAAAACATATTTCAACGGAAGCTATACCATTGGAATATCTGTTGGAATTTCCACTGGAATATATTACCGTAGGATTTTTCGTTGTAATATAATAACTTTTTTGTAGTGTGTGTCTGTGTGGCACCTACAATTTTTTTTCCCCGTGTATAATCAACTGATTATGTTTTCTTTACGTAAACTTCATTTGAGTGGATGCACGTAGATGGCACCTTGATGAAGAAATTGATTAATTGTTCGCCCGTCATTCGCCATATAAAAGACTAAGGTTATATAAGGTAGGGCCTTAATTTAGTCATTGTTGATATTTGTGAGACATGTTTATTTGAGTAATTGGATTTTATTTAAAAAGCTACAATTGTGCGTAGAAAATTGCCCAACAACGATCATCTCGTGCAATAATATCAAATTATGAATTAGAAAAGGGGGAAACACTAAACAAAATAAACAAATAAATAAATAATAACAAGATATATAAGAATGAAAGAATATAGGGACCCAGCTACATGGTTGATTTGAATTACTTTATCGAAAATATGTATTCAAATACATAAGTAGAAGTATTCTTAATCACCAAGAAATTAGTGCAACTGTTTTGATTGAATTTGTCGGGTACATTAACTAGTTATTGGCTCGGTTGTTTGAAAGGGGGCCTCAAGGCATACATAAGATAGTCGACAACTCGATTTTATTACTTAGAGGTTATTTAGAGGTTGATTGTTTATGGATTCAACAAGTTTTTATTTGGTTTGTTTTTTTAACTATAGTTAATTTTAAAAAAAAGTGATATGGTTAATTGTTATTGGATATATTAAAATAATATTTAAATAAAATAATTAAAGTTGATTTGATGTAAAGTAGGAGAAAAATGACTGAAAGTGATAGTTAGTTAAAATTACGTGAGTGGATGAATAGTAAATTAAAGTTGATGTGATGAATAAGAATGATTGGTTGATATTATTTAATTATATTGATAATATTTAGAATAGTGGAGTTGGGTTAAAATTGAGTTAAATTTGAGTTTTGATTGGTTTTTTTACTATTGAAACTATATTTAATCGCCTCCTTAACAATTTCAATTTTGTTCCTGTTATGTACTATGCTCTTTGTCGATCTAGTTTTACCCGTTAATTATGTCAACTTGCAAAATGGAAAACCCATATCAGCAAGTCCTATCAACACTCATGTGTCACTACCTGAGTCTAGGTAAAATCGGTTGAGAATAGCTTCGATCTGCTTGAACCACCGCGCGTGAACTGCAAAAACTCAACGTCGGAGGAGATTTCGTTATAGAGCCTCTAATGCTTAAGTTAGCAAAAGGAAGAAGAAGAAGATGATGCTATGTAATCTTAGAGCAATATATAATGTATAGAGAATGTAAAGTTAGGGTCTGATTATACATCAATCCCTTTTATAGTGAAATACCTACCCAAAATGCTCTGCCCGACTGCACACGAGCAGCCTTCCCGACTGTCCAGACTCAGTGTTTATTCATATCCTAATCACCTTTAAATTCTATCTTATCCTCTTAAGATTCTTTCTTATCCTTGATATCTGTTTGTTTTAGGTCGTGAACTTCCTTGCCGTTCCATAGTTGACTAGTCCAGGTCGAGCTGTTTTGGTTGCTTGCAGGTCATTTGACATAATCCAGATTGTTCAAGGGTCCTTAGGTCACCCAAATGCCCTCAGGTCGTCTGAGAGTAAGGTTGTCATATTGTCTGAGCTCCACGGTCTTAAGGTTGCTCTGACATGTCATCCTCTACTCCGGTCGAGTTACCCATACTTAGTATATTCCCAGTCAACGAATATGGCTATATCAAATACTCAAACACATCGACACTGAGTGTCTGAAGATCATTGATGCCTATCCCTGTGCCGATCTCACTTTAGGCTAAGTATCTTTACACTTATAACGTCATTGCCTCGCATGCAAGTTCAATTTTTTCACATCGGCACCGAACAACACATACAACTTCCTTCGTGTCACAATAATGCGGTACATCTCGACAAATTAAATTATAATCTTATTAATTGACACAAATATTAGACATTCCATATATATACATCATTAGATATATAATTAGTTAACTAGAATATCTTAACCATTTAACCAATGAACTATGTAATCAGAAAGCACATACTTTTGAGGAAAGAGAGTGAAGTAAAGGGAGCACATCATCATCTTTTTCCAAGCACACTCAACTAGCCTAAGAAAGGAAAAAAGGTAGAGCAGATAAAGTAAGCAGTAATGCCAAACATTGTTCACCCAACTATGTATATATAAACCCCTCCATGCAAGTCAACACTACCCTTCACTCTATCTTAATCAGTTTAGTCATCATATATATAATATCTATGGATCATAACAATAAGTTCAACTTTGTTACAAGCAGGTTGCCTCCTGGATTCATATTCCAGCCCACAGATGAAGAAATCATCTTTCAGTACTTAGCCAGAAAGATATTCTCATTTCCTTTGCCTGCTGATGTCATCCCTGAAGTCAGCAGTTTCGTCCGTTTGGAGCCGTGGGCTTTGCCAGGCACGCAAATTATTCGCTAATTTAATTTTGCTTTTTACAACGATATATTTCTACTTTACGTCTAATAATAATTGACGGTATTTTTGGCCAAATGTAGGTAATTTTGAACAGGACAAGTACTTTTTCTGTAAAAAGGAATGCAGCTTTCGGACTTGTGGTGGTTTTTGGAGAGCTGTTGGGTACGAAAAACAAATCAGTTGTTCGACAAGGAAATCTCCCATAATCGGGATAAAAAAGATGTTTGTCTTTTACAAGGGAACAAGTTCGTGTTTCGCTAGAACTGATTGGTTCATGCATTTTCACAGCATTGCTGTTAAAGGAAATAGTATCCAGCGGAAAAAACATTCGGCCAAGGTGAATATATAGGTCTCTTAACAAGATGTATTGTCTATTAAATGTTCTATTAACATCTATTACCTTATAATTATTATTTTTTGAAAGCAGGAATGTTTGGTGCAAATAGGGAAATGGGACTTGTGCCATATTTTTTTGAAGAAAAGAAGTGCCAAATTTGGAGTTTGTGGTTCTAATGGGAGATTTATTAGGCATAATGAGAATTTATTCGTGACGAGGGAAGAAAAACTTGTAGATTTTTCTTGTTCTTCAACATCATCATCTTCATCATCATCATCATCTTCTTCTTCTTCTTCTTCTTCTTCTTCTTCTTCTTCTTCAGATTTGGACACTGAGTGTAGTGTTCTGAGCGAGGTCTCTTCCACTAGCTAGCGAGACAAACAGCTCTTCCATTTGATGTACTTCGGAATTGAATCATTGTCGAGCTCAATGTTGAATATCATCTGTTTTATCAATGAATAATTTTTTACTTTTTTTTTTTTTTTTC